CATGAAAAAGTCTGTTCCAGATATGCCAGCAATTACCTTTTCTAATACCATTCAAATATGTTATTGGAGAAAGGTATTGGTTTCATCCTTGACAAGCATTGTTGGAGAATCCATTGATAATAACGGAAATAAGATTTCAATACAATCTGGATTAGCAACACACCCGTCAGTTTCACAATTGAACTACATTACATTAGCTTTGAAAACTGAATCCCCTACCGACAGGTTAATCTTTGACTTTTCAATACTTGAAATTGATAATGTCTCATCAGATAAGAGCCTCATATCAGTATTCTTTGATACCACTTTTCCTTTCTACTATTGTTCCTATTGGGATAATGCATGGAATCAGACAGTGGTTGGAGGTGCTTGTAACATTAATTACTCAGGAAAAAGTTCAATTGGCACCATCTCTGCATCAATTGAAAAGACTGGTCGATTTTCCATTATCCGTGATCCAGGAGAGGGAGGAGAGAGCTTTATCAGGAATAATTATGATTTGTTTGCCCTATTTGCATTGTTGATTATTCCAATTGTGTGCATAATTATTGTATTGTTGGTAGCCATTTACTTGTTGAGAAAGAGAAAGATCAAAACCAACTTGGAAAATAATGATGTTGATATTGTGAATGTGCGTGAACCTAAACAAACACTTATCAGTAATCAACACTTTTAAAAATATAAATCAAAATCATGTAATTAACAAATCCTTAATAAAAATAAACTGTTTTAGTAAAGTTCTTTGCAGTTATCATATTTTTTAATTGTTGTTAGGAAATCAGTATAAAATAAAGGTTTCAAAATTGTTCATTACTGCTGATATTTCTTTCCAAAAACCCATTCAATTTCAGGTTCTTTCAATGGTCCATAACTTTACAACAGCACCCAATATGGTAATCCGAAAATCTGTCCAATTCAATCTTAATACCAACATAAGTATGGAAATAGGTATTGTGGATATTTGTCTAGAATAGTCAGTTGTTGCAACATCACTCGAAATAAAACAATAACCAGATCATTAAGGCAATAGGAAAATACATGCTCTAATATCCCTCTCTCATTGAAAGGCCTCTCTCAACTGTTCAAGATTAACCTTTCCAGCCGTAATTACTATTACCAAAAATAATCCGATGTATCAATTAGTACTGACCTATCAGCAAGAGCATTGATTTCTGCCGATTCTAATGCACAGTTGGTCCTATTCATCAAACCATGTAGGCACTTATGATATTGGTTTAAATTGCAATGTGGTTACCATTCTGCATTTGTATGGAAGATGCTAAGTGATTGCTAAAATTTTTGAATGCCAAAACAAATATCAGGCATTCTTGCAGCCTGGTTAACTTCAACTTTGGTGGGAACTATGTTGATTGTCTTGGTCAGCTTGATTAGTGCTTTGTGTTGCTACTTTATGTGTTGCTACAGAAAGAGAAAGAGACTCTCTCCTATGAACAGTTAATTTATTTCAAATACATGCCATATTCTTCATCATATTCTGCAATGTACTGATCTATTTCATCTTCTTCGTCATCTTCCAAATTTTCACCACTAGTTGTCTTTAGTAAGGTACTTGCTTTGGATTTTTCCAAACTGATAGATGGTTTTGAATTCTTCTTCTTTTTCTTTTTAATTTCCGCACCTTGGGATGTTTCATCAATAGGTTCTGTAGGATTTAAGTAAGAATCGATAATTGGGAAAATTTCCTTAGAGGTGATCAGATCAATTCTCTTATTCTTATCCCAAAATACATGTTCATCTCTATAGATCAAACTCTGAATACGATGTTGAGGCAAATCTTCCTTCAATTCACTATTCTCATATTCACTGTAAGAGATGAACACATCTCCTTCAAAACGATCCTTATAGATCATGGCCAAATTTTGCATGACATCTGCCAATGATTCATCCCAATTCAAACGATCAATCACCTCTTTGCATGTTTGAAAACGTTCCTTTTTCTGATTCATCAATTCTTCTTCCTCCTTTGAAAGTGGAGAAGAGCCACTACTTTTCTTGTAATATTCCATCATGGAAGGAGAGGAGGAGAGATGACTCGGAGAGGAAGAAATTACATCAGAATTTGCATTGGAAGATGATCTAGATCTTGACGATGAAGAAGAAGGTTGAATAAAACGAGGAATACTTTGGGACATTTTCTACTATTAACTTGTTGATATCGGAAGGATGAGAATTTTCTATACAAAATACTAATACTAATAATAATACTATAAATTACAAAATATAATACACTCTAATGTTACAAAATATATTGATAACTAAAA